AAGGGGAGGGGTTTATGGGGGTTGGTGTGGAGCGTGCACGTGATCTGAGAGAGTTAACGGACAGTAAAATCACTCTCTGCACACCGGTGTCTGTGAAGTAACGGTTAGGCAGGTCGCCATTGCCGACAAAAGACGTGGGTTCGATTCCTGCACAGAGAAGTCTGTTTCATCAAGTGTCCTCCCGGGCTGGCTCCGACAGGCAGGATTGAGGCAGCCCGCCCCCTAAACCTTGAAGAGTGTGTCACTTTGGCTGTCAGTTATTTACAATCATATCCTACCAGTACCTGTACAACCAGGCTTAAATTATTTTCTGTTATGTTATAAGACACACGCTCCGAATCCTGAATTGTTACCAAGACCACCCCCCCCCTGGAGTGACTCGCACCAACAATCTCGCCTCCATGGTCACTAGATGTACCTAAGACGAGAGCCCCGGAGCTTCCAGGACAAGTCGCCGCTGAATATGTCATAGGAAGGAAATTACTGGCACCATGACTTCGACGACAACCGATCTCTAGGAATATATACTCATTCAATACTGTCCTGAATCTGTCTTTAAATCCATCAGGGACTTCTACTTGCAAAGCCATATGGATAACAACTTCTTCCCACACCTCCCTCATCAAAGTCTCCTTAACATCAGGTTTTAAATTTTGAGAGCCATACTTATCTCTAAACTTTACCATCACTTGCGATCCAGCCGATTCCTTGTTTAGACGAAACTCTTCGCCAATAAGCTCATCCTCTTCTTGTGGTGGTCTGCATATCAATCCTTTACTTTCTAACTGACCCAACACAGCTGTATCGGTTTCTTCTCTACGTAAGAAGGAGAAGAACACCTTTTTTTCATCAACACCCAACTGAAGGCAACATTTGTTTACAATATAATAGGGTATAAAACAAGAAATAATATTGTTCTTGAGCTGGTTAATAGACTGTTTTTTATTTCCATTACACGTCCCAGGGACACGTGCTGGGCGGCTCCGTGTGAGTGCGACACACAGATCACCAAGTCTCTTGGGAAATACAGCGCTCTGCCTCCACGTCCTCGTTTCAGTCGTTCGGTAATCTGGGCGTTTGTTTGTTCACTTTCAGCTCGACAAAGAAATAGACAACCGTCAACACCTACGACAAGTTTCTCCACCTCACCCCTCTCGCTGTTTTCACACTTTCACGATTGTCTTTATCATCAAAAAAAAATTCTGTGGTGGTGTTTTCCGCCTCTTTGAGGGAAAACACCACGTGTGCAGCTGTGATTATTTCCAAATATCTTCCATCTAGAGAGCCTGTATTTGGTCCTTCATCTAAACAAATCCCAGTGCCAGAGCGCCAGTGTGAGAAGCCTCTCGCCGCTCCACAATGAAACCGTTCAGGCCGGTGCTCGTCTGTGTAGCGAACAGTCAGCCGAACAGTTCTATTTGCATGGCGTTTTATATAATCAAGAAGATCAGGATATCTTCCAAATTCAGGGAGATGTTCCAGGCGGAGTCCTCGTATTGGAATGAACTTGTGATGATGACGCTTCTTTGGACATCTCTCGGCCATAACACTGTTGAGACCGCCGCCCTCCCACTCCCCGTCACAGCCCTCTCTGTTCACACACGGAAGGATCTCCATCTCGCACGCATCTCCTGTAACGGACACACAAAAACGTTCAGACTCTCAGACGGTGCAAACGACACAGAAAACGAAAAAGTGCACTGTATTAAAAATATA